GTTCAAATACAAGATTTCATAGGATACCAACAATTCTAGTTGTCCCTTTTTCCGAACCGAACATCCGATTAACTAAAATTATCTTACTTAATACTAGGTTCCTATTTCTACTCAAATTAATTGAATATAGCCGGCTTATTCGAAGATTTAGAAGGTGAAAGAAAAGAATAAGGAAAGAAAGTACCCAAAACTTGATGATACAGGTTGAAGTGTGTGGGTTTGTGGATGAGGCTTCTCGTCGGTCAAGGGGGGCTGATTCACTCAATTCTCGTTTCACACTGAGATATTAATCCAAAAGGGGCGATCCGTCTGGTTCCTCTCAGTCCAGTTCCTTTTTCTATCTCTTGTTCTAAGGTCCTCTTTTTCTTCTCTCACCATACAATCAAACTTACAGAGGAGTCTTTCCTTTCGACCTCCTCTTTCCACTTCCTTCCTCCCCGTCCACCTGTCCTTTCACTTCTCCCTTCACTTCCAGTCTGCCCTCATTTTTCTCCTCCACTCACTCCCCTTGTTCTCCCCCTTCTTAACTCCCCCTCCTTCCTCCTCTCTCCTTAGTCCACTCATATCCCCTCTCAAAAGCCTTCCATTCATTCCTTTTCTCTCAGTCCACCCACACACTAAAGTCAATGGGAAGACGATAAGATTATAGAAGAGTAAACAAATAGGACAGGCAAAGGTGAAGTGAAGATGTATATATACATATATATATATACAGTTTAAAATACGGTTTAAAATATGGTGTGTAGCCACAGAAGCATTACAAGATATTATTAAGCTGTCTCCATAAATCAGCAAAGATCAAGTATGTTTTTACTAAATGGCTATTCTAATACAACAATAGAAAAATGGTCAAGAGAATAGATATAAAGTAAAATTTAAAGAAGAATTAAAATTTATATTCTTTCCATATATTAAAAATAATTTGTAAAAATTTTTTAAAAATTTCTCAAGTTTTCTATAGAATTAACAGCTAACTTAAACAAATTTAAAGAATATATATTTACTAAATAAAATTAAAAAGAAACAAAATAAATTAGAAAAATGTCATATACAAAATGTCTTGTATTTGTGCAGATAGTCTGTTATATTGGAGAAACATTATTGGAAAAAGGATAAAAGAACATGAGGCATCAATCAGGTTAAAAAATACTTAATCACCTTGGTTTATACATTGCGATGAAGATAATTATACAATAAAAATAATAATAAAATTTTGTTTCTAGAAAATGATGTATATCTACGGAAGTTTAAAGAACATATAGCGATTAAAAATAACGATTACTTAATTAATTTGAATCACTATTCAAATGGATGTTAATAGATGATATATGGAGTGACATCATATAAGAATAAAAGTATGTTTGTAATATATGTTGAATATTTAGATAAACATTAAATGTAATATAATATATGTTGACAATTTAAAACAAAGGAAATGTAATCGAGAGGTGCCAAGGTGGCGGGAGAGAAAGCGAGCGAGATAGCTCGAAGTAACCAGCTGGATGTAGAAGTGTTTAGTTGTATTATTAAAGAGTTATTCGTACCATAGTATCTGGTCAGTTGAGTCGTTTATAATACATGGTGGCAGCGTAGAGGAAAATGTATCAGATCCCAGCGCCTGAAGTTTTTAATTTTCGTCCGGAAGATTGGAGAACATGGATAGGACGTTTCGAACGATTTCGAACAGCGTCTGGACTCCATAATAAAGAGGAAACTGACCAGGTAAATTCTTTCATATATTTAATGGGACAGAAAGCCGAGGAAATTTTGGCGTCATTTAGTCTCCCAGAAGAGGATAGAAATGNTTATATATATGCATTTTCTGCTTTCTGTGTGTCTTCTGTTTTCATTATAGCTTTACTTTTTTTTTCAAAAATAGGCTGTAGAAAGTTGCTTCTAATTTTTATACAATTATTTTTGCTTCATAATGAATTTCATAATAAAAATATGTAAGTGGGTGCATTAATAGTCAGAATTACCCATATATCTAAGAATTAACCTAGCTATTTGCCATGAGTCTTTTTATATCACTTCTGTGTAAAACAAGATTCTATTATATTGTATATTGAAATTTCACAATATACAATTACTGTAATTGGGATTCAATGAGGAGAAATCGACTGGATCATCCAACCAGAATACTCCCGAAGAAGAAACTCCCAGGACGGAAAATGGAACAGGATCCGGGAATAGGGAACTTTATGAACCAACGCTAGAAATCAAACAAAACTCTCCACCGGGTGAAGAGGACCTTCCTAAAACCCGTAGTGGCAGACCTATACGAATCCCAAGACGGTATTTGGATTATCAGCCGTAAAAGAGAAGGGGGAGATGTAATATATGTTGAAGATTTAGATAAACATTAAATGTAATATAATATATGTGGACAATTTAAAACAAAGGAAATGTAATCGAGAGGTGCCGAGGTGGCGGGAGAGAAAGCGAGCGAGATAGCTCGAAGTAACCAGCTGGATGTAGAAGTGTTTAGTTGTATTATTAAANAAAACTCTCCACCGGGTGAAGAGGACCTTCCTAAAACCCGTAGTGGCAGACCTATACGAATCCCAAGACGGTATTTGGATTATCAGCCGTAAAAGAGAAGGGGGAGATGTAATATATGTTGAAGATTTAGATAAACATTAAATGTAATATAATATATGTTGACAATTTAAAACAAAGGAAATGTAATCGAGAGGTGCCGAGGTGGCGGGAGAGAAAGCGAGCGAGATAGCTCGAAGTAACCAGCTAGATGTAGAAGTGTTTAGTTGTATTAATTAATAAAGAGTTATTCGTATCATATCATCTGGTCAGTTGAGTCGTTTATAATACAATGTTACACAATGCAGGATGATTGTTACTGTGATTGATTTCGAAGAGTCTGAAATATCAGTGTAGTCTCTCTCAGACTGTACCTTTGAGTCATTTATTTTAATATTTTATATTCTTGTTAAAATGTTTTAACTGTAAAATTACAAAACAATTTTATTGTTTATAGACTGAAGAGGGATTGGCAAGAACTCCAATCCAAAATGCATTTAAATAAAATATCTGAGAATTGTCTTCTGAGTAATTCTTGAACTCTGCTGAGCATTGGATTCAAAGGACACATTTTGGTTTATTCATCCAAAAAACTCCTTTTAAGTGGTTATAAAAGTGAAAGATCAAGTAATATTTGAATTGTTCATTTGCTTTGAACTGTAATGTATTAAAGCTACTGCTTAATTAATAATGGTGAGAATATGGATTCCAGTTGTAACAAGAGTAAAATTTATAGCATTTAACCATGTGTACTAAAAATTCTGGCATCCAATAGACTTCATGACAAGGCATATTATAACTTTAATTAAATTTTATAAAGTCACTGACACACTGTTACTCAAGTTTAATGTGAGAGGACATTTTCAAAGCTAAAGATCATAAAGACAAAGCTAAGAAATTCAGTCTCAGGAGAATTTTTAATCATACATGTTTCTATCTATTGAAAAGGAATTTTAGATGAATTAGATACAAAAGCAATTAGTGACAGATTGACAACCACCTAGTGAATTCAAATGATTGCTCTTAATAGTGCACTGCATGAAATATGCTTTTGCTGTTAATTTGTAAAATGTTCAACACAAGCAAATTATTTAATAATAATCACCATTTATTTAAAATAAAAAATTCAATAACAATCTGTATTTACATTTAACATTTACTGAGTATTGCCAGTAATATATGTACATTGTAATTACTAGAAAAATGTTTGTTTAGCAAAAATTTTAACTATACCTTTTCTACTTATGTATTTTTTGAAAATTTTATTTCTAATAAAAATTAAATGATAGTTTTACACTTGTAAGTGGGCATCTTTTTTCTCCTGGCAACCAATAGTTTTAGACCCAGTCTGCTACAATAGTTGGCCTATTATGATAGTTTTCACCATTATTGAAGCATTTATGTAGAAATGTACTGTAGTTTAGGATATGGCTAATCTGATAAATATAAGATTTGTTGACAATTTGTCAATAAACTTTGATTTATTTAACTTTACGACAATACTTACTGTTGATGCTTTCTGAATGCACTGATAATTATATTAATTAATGTAATTTATTGTTAGAGATCATTTTCAAATTGTCACATATTAAGTTTCTCTTTAGTTACTATATATGATTTTTAATTTACTGTTTGAGACACTATGATAAATGCTAAAGCTAAAAATTACAAACTTTGCAATAATTTATTTTTACAGTATGATCTTGTTTTATGTGATGGTTACATGTCAGCAGATACTGTATAAAATGAGGTTACATTTAAATTTGTTCTCCATCCCAAATAGTCTCAGATGATTTTCTTTTATAATTCATGATAGTCACTTAAGCATAGTTATTTTATGCTCAAGTAGCCAAACTAACAAGTAAGAAGCAGCAAATATCATTTCTCTTTGTAATTTTGGCTTTGTTAAATAATGTCAAAAAGGTTACTTTTACACAATACCTACTTATATATATGCATTTTCTGCTTTCTGTGTGTCTTCTGTTTTCATTATAGCTTTACTTTTTTTTTCAAAAATAGGCTGTAGAAAGTTGCTTCTAATTTTTATACAATTATTTTTGCTTCATAATGAATTTCATAATAAAAATATGTAAGTGGGTGCATTAATAGTCAGAATTACCCATATATCTAAGAATTAACCTAGCTATTTGCCATGAGTCTTTTTATATCACTTCTGTGTAAAACAAGATTCTATTATATTGTATATTGAAATTTCACAATATACAATTACTGTAATTGGGATATAATGTTGGTTTGTATGTATGTATACACACATTTCTCTCAAATATGTTTCAATACTAAATTCTGAGAACAATTTTTAAAAATTATTTTTATCTATAAAATTATTATAACTGCAGAAATTATTTTTCTTGATTGACTGTTGAAGAAAAAATATATACTGTGGGTATATTTGAAAACTAAAAAATTAATAAAATTAGACTTATGAAATTTTCTTTTCTTAGGACCTTCCAGTACAATTTGCAACTTGCTTTCTTGATGGAATAAAAATTTATATGCCATCTTGTATTGATAATTCTCTTTACTGGGAATGCAAAGGTATTTTAGCAATTAAAGAAGGAAATGAAAGAGATGCATTAGAATTTTATGATAAAGCTATAAATATTGAAGAAAAGGTAATTTCAATTTTGTTTTAAAATAATATATATTTATATATAATAAGATCTTTTTTCTATTTTAGTCCGATGCTGTTTTTGAAGTCTAATAAATTAATTAGTTTATCAAGATTGAAATTTAAAGAAATTAAAGAACTTAATAAAATCAGGATGGCTCAATAGTGCTTAAATTTATACTTCAAAAATAAGAATATAAACAGCATTAAAATTTAAATGATAGTTTTTATAATGTTCAATTATCATTTTAATTGTATCAAAGATTTTATACATCTATAAAGTATAAATTTTAATGTCAAATGAATAAATTGTTTTAAATTTTAATAAAGTTTATATTTATTTAAAGCTTTTAATGATTTATTTAATTGCCTTAAATTAAAAAGCAGTAGATGTATACAAGGCTGCGGAGTCGGAGTCAGGAGGAATTTCTGGCCATAGGAGTTAGTCGGAAAAAGTGTGTCGACTCTGACTCCTTCATTTTAAATTTACTTAGTTTTTTTTATTTAAATGAAAGAAAATTAATTATATATTTATTAATTTTTTAAAAATCTTTTTGTATTTTGTTATAATTCATTTATTTTAAATACAAAATGCAACAATTCAATTTATTAAATATGTAGTATTCTTTGTAGTATTTGTGTTTAGTAGTTAAATTATTGACCCAATGAATTTGAGTATTTTTGAATCATTCCTTTATAATCCCTGCTCTAAATAAGTACTCTATTTTTCTGAATGAGCCAGACTAATTGATCAGAGTACATATTTTTCTTTTCTGAACAAGGGGCTGACGTAACTAGCTAGATTGCACCCTTTTTAGTTGGACTAACTCTTCTGGAAAGGTGAAACTGAGGTGTTAAATGTTGTCAAATATATGTATATGTAGAATTTATTGTCTCCTTACTCCACTCATTAAATATTTTTAAAAATTAATTTTTTTATACAAATAAATATTAATGTAAGTTAAATATTAAAAATACTAACTATAAAAGTATTTGGGTAAACATCCCAGGCTGTTCAGAGTTCAGAGTAGGGTACCCCCTATAAGTGCCTCTGCCCCCCATAAAATGACTTGGTATTTAATTTTGCTGGAGCCAGAGCGGTGACGTAGCGAACATAGTTGGCGCCTGGAGCATGATAGACCACCTTGCCCCCCCTTGCTCTGCTAGTGAGTCAGAGTCGGCCTACTAAAATTATCAGGAGTCAGAGTTGAATGCTTTTTTTTTAACCAACTCGACAGCCCTTGATATATAGCAGATATATGGAATTTCAAAACTTATTGTCTCTCTCAATTTTAGACATGTAAAATGTACTATTAAGTAAATTACACAGTAATTTTATTACTTACTGTAGTGTAAAATATATTTTGCACCTTATCAAAAAATTCTTATTGGCAATTTTGTCAGAAAACTCTTGATAATTGGTTTATATTGCATAATATAATCTATTCAAAGGTGTAATCTAATTTTTAGTTGACTTTTAAATCTGATTGAATAATTATTGGCACATTGAAAAAGTCATCATATGAACTATTTCTTGTGGTGAAATTTTTTGATATTGCAGAAGAATTTACAGGAAAAATTGAAATTTTATTTATCCTGCTAACCAATGCAAATCAAATTGTAACCAAACATCTTTAGATTGCAGATAGACTGACCAAATCAATGAATTTGGGAGAAAAAATAATAGTGCAAGAAAGTAAAGTAATAAAATAACTTGCAAATAATAGTTTATATATGGAAAAACAATATTCAACATTGCAGAGATCACTATTCAGTTGCAATTAGTTTGTGTGATTTCATGAATATTTATTAATTCTTACTGATTTGAAAATGATAATACTTAAATTTTTAATTCTTTTGAAAAATTTCCAGTAAAATTCATGATACATGTTCCAGTTGTTGGGCTGCAATTTGAAAAAAAATTATTGACATAAATTTCCACTGTCTGTCTGTTCTTCCTTAATCTTGAGATGGAGTTAAATAAATGAAAGTCGAGATTGGATATGGAAAGCTTGGGCAGGAGGCCCTGATTAACTAGAACTTCTGGTGCAAACCAGAAGTTGTTTCAATTAAAAAATTTTCCCATGAAAAAAGTTAATCACTAACATGACTATTGTTAAAGGAAAAATATGATGTATAGGGGCAAGACACTACTAATTTATATTATAGGTGGAAAGCATGTATTTTAAGTTAAATAAATTAAAAATTGCAGCCTGACATTGTGACTGTCACAATAAATAATTGCTTGATTTTAGTTATAAATATGTATCAAATATTTGAAATAATAAATCTATATAAACAAAAATGTAAATGTTCGTTTGTTCAAAATCTTAAACCTCCAAAAGTTCTTCACTGATTGCTTTCAAATTTTGACACAACGTTGCATTCAAATATGCACATGTTTTTATATACCTACTATTATATAGATGTCGAAATTCCCCCTGCGAGGGAGAGGGACAAAATTAAGGCTTACCGTGAAGAACTCTGCTTTTATTATACTATCTTAGATGTGATTTTTTGCATTTTTGATTGTGTTTAAATAGAGTACATCAAGAGAATGTACACTAAGAAGGGATTTTTTGAAATTTCTCCCCGTGGGAGAAGTGTTAAGAGAAAGCAACGTGCAAGATTTACAGGCGCAAATGCTGTTTTTTGTGTTTTTGCAGGAAATCTAACATATTTTTAGATCCATTAAAAATTTTCTAATTAGTTGGAAACGGGGACCTAATTCTTGCATTCTGTGAAAATGGGTAAGATTGGCTATAATGTAATAATCTTAATCTTTGCTATTGTTACGTTTGCCCGAGCAACGCCACACTTATCTGCTAGTTTGTAAATATATTTAAAATTACTTGAGAAAAGCTGTACGTTGTTTTTCAGAGAGAACTGAATCTTTAAAAAAAACTGTAAATGCAGTCAATATTCTGTTAAGCCTATTTAATTTTTGATCATCCAATTTTCTGATTTTTAAAAAAAATAAATCCTTTTTTTAAAGTTAAATTACCATTTAACTTCAAACTTCATACTTGTTAGAATATAGCCATATTTAAAATTTTAAACTGGAATATTCAAATTTAATATTAAAATTTAGTTAAATAAAATTTTGGAAAAAGTTTTTTAATTTATTAAATGATTATTTAAAAATTTTTGAAATTTAAAATATTTTTAAAATTTTAATTTGTATATCAAAGAATTCTAATTAATGATTTTAATATGTGATTATTCTTTATATTGAATTTAACCAAAAATTTTATAGATGAATCATTTGTTTCTAATCAGAAATAAGTGACCTTTAAATAAAAAATTTATATTTTTTAAAATTTGATTTATAAATGCAAAAACTAAACTTATAAAATATCAACTCACTATAAATAATTTCAACTTTCCTTTATTGACATCAGATTTGTTAAATTTCACGGAATTGTGCTATTTTTCAACTCTATTATTTCTTCTCTGGAAAATAATAGACTCTAATAAGTCTTACTAGAGTCTATTATATAGACTTACTAGTCTTCCACTGTGAAAAACAACAAACTGCTAAACGCTCTATTACTTTGTTTTCAAAAACTTCCTTCTCTGTCAGCCGAGGGTCAAATGGTTAACAAATTGGTTACTTCCACTCAGGGAAATGTGATGGTGTCATAAAACTTTATAAAATGATTAAAAAATACCAATGAAAGAAATTAAATTATTTTCGGTCAAATTTCAGTTTTTTAGAAGTTATTCGCTTTATAATAACGCGATTATAAGCGAAGAAGCGCGCGCCGTAGCTGCAGCTATTTTTAGTAACAGCGACTGGCGGGAAATTTGAAAATTGAAATCCGAGATCACGCGCGCCATAGTGCCGATTCGGCACCAATAATTAAATAAAAATAATGAGACGCTTTAAGCAAAAACTGAATTGCGCATAGTAAAATTGAAGAAAAATTAGACAGGTAATAATTTTTTCAGATTTTTCACACAATTAGGATTTTTACACGAACTAATTAAAAATCGATTGGTGCCTAATCGGCACTAGGCGCGTGCCGACGGGTTAAGAAACTGATTTTGAAAAGAGAAATTTCTAAACTTTTCAGTTATTAGTTTGGTTTTATTTCTATTTATTACACTGCTTTCATATGTTACATTAAATCTTATCATATTCTGTAGCATTTTTACTTCATTGATTATTAAAATAATATAATCTGATATGATGTACTCTTCACAAAATAACTTCAAGTTCAGACCCATAGCTACGGGGTTGTGAGATGGCTATCTCCAATTTAGTAGGGTTCTTATGTAGCTGTGAGAACCTGAACTTCAACAAATAATTTAGCATGATTTTGTCATCTATATTTTGATTATATATATTGTCAACTACTACCTGAGAACTTTTCAGTTTGCATGTTCTCGGTGGCAAAAGCAATGCTTTCCCTGTGATCCTTTGACCTCCTGGCTGTGTGCTACTGTTTTAATATTAGAACTGATGGCTGAATGAGGCAGTCATTACCCATTTCTCCCTGACTCAACAAGTCGCCATCCGTTCCTCTGAGGGTTATACTAGTCAGCCAGTCCTATAATGAAAGTTGTTACCAATTCTTCGACAAATACTGTTAAATCTGTGCCTCTGAAACGGATATATGATCAACTCTGACCCGGACCATTATTCAGAACTCTTCTAATGTGCCAATCTCCTTATTTATTCAATCTTCCCAAGGGACAGACCAAATCCTCTCTTGCATCATGTCTACAAACAGATCCTTCAAACTACAGGTATTTATCTCCATGTGAACTCTCTCTCTCTCTCTCGCAGCCACTTGCAATATAGATCACTTAGTTTAATATCTTCAAAGTTTGCATCTTGTACTCTTTTTCTTTGGAATTAAACTGTTATTAGTCATTTGACGATATAGATTGTTTGACATGCCGTCTCTCCAACCTCCTCCACACAACTTGTTCTCTCTCAAATCTCATCCTCCCAAATTCAATCACCTGTGCACATGACCGCTTGAGTGACTCAACAACAACAATATATTGAGATTAAACAAAAACAGCTTTAGTTGCTGTGCACTCACACATTGTAATTCTATTTAACCACTTTGTGCTCATCATTTAAATGCATGTCTCACAATGTCCTTTCTATGTACATAATATTATTTTGACATTTCCATTATAACTGTTAAGAATTTATAACTAATATATTGTTGAAGATGGGTATAATTTTGTAACCTCGCTCCCAGTTATGCATAGCAGTATTTGGAATGTACTCTTGTACAGTAAATAAATAATGAATGAGGCCTAGTGCTATCTGGAAAAAAATAAAATAAAAAAGAAATAGTAGTCACAATTTTTTTCAGTTTACATCTATATCCGGAGGCCAATATGGTTGGGCAAGGTGCACCGCTGCCCAGGAAGACTGATTGCTAGAAATAGAAAAATAGGCCAAAAATATATCAAAATATTCTTAATTTCAGATAATTATTTTACTTTTTGAAAATAATTGTTAGGTCTGAGTCCTCATTTAGAATATTAGTATTTTATAAAATAATAATAATAATTAAATTTATTTGAAAAGGGTGTGAAAACAAAACAATAAAATTATTTGTTAGCAAAAAGTGGGAAATGGAAATCTAAAGTAATTTCAATCTCTCTAAAAGGCATAAATTGAATCAGGCTCTTGCCTCTAGCTCCCAATTGATTTCTTCCTTGCTATGGGATTGAGTAAATTACTATTTATCATAAGCTGTGATTTAATAACATAAACAATACACATTTAGCCTTTCTCCAACCTTATACACTGTTACAGATATATTTCTTATTTCATTAAATTAACTACATTGGCTAGTTCAATTTTATCAGTATGTTGTGATTTAAAATTAAATTGTTTTAGAATGATCTAAAAGCAGAAACATCAGAATTTTTCTGTCTCTCAACATGAGATCAGTTATATAACTTATTATATCATTCAATCAGAACCAATAAACCAATGAGCAATTAGTTTTTGTGACATTGTCATAACACAGGACTGCAATTTTTAATCACATTTTTAATTTATTTAATTTAAAATATATTCTCTACACCTCAAATTAGTAGCAACTTGCCCGTGTACATCATACTTTTCCTTAAATAGATGCTGGCATGACTATTAAATACCTTTTGGGAAAATTTTTGAATTAAAATAACATGATTTCCAATGCAAACCGGAAGATATTTTAGGTTGCAATTAATAACTTCTGTCAGTTCTAACAAACAAGAAACGGCCTAAAAGTTTATTAATAATTATTTGCTATAATTGGTGGCATGGCTCTAGCCAAAGATTTGGATGAACCAATTGATCAGTAATTGCCAATTAATGTGCTTTGAAGCAATGTAAGTGCTAAAATTAAAATTTGTAAAAAAATAATTATATTTTTATCAACTATATTTCAGAAATTTGTATCACTGATTGGTACAAACTTCTCATGAAGGTGGTATAGAGAGACAAAATCATATTTTGTGCATGATTTCAACATAAATGTAGAGAATTTCCACACAAATGCTCTCAACAGCATCAGGATTGATTTTCCTGTAACTTCTTTCTAATTTTCTAATTAAAGTTTTTTAAATTAATTTTCCACAATTTCCAAGCATTTCTAATATTAAAACATTAAAATACAACATTTCTATCATACAATAAGTATACTAGTAAATATTTCCATTATGAAGTGATTAGAAATGGCTTTCATTATTAAAAATCCAGCAGCAAGTTACTTAAAATTTCCAATAATGTTTAAAAATGTGTGTGGAGCCATCTGTTGATATTTTAACTATTATAAAATGGCAAAAAGCTTAATTTTGAGGATAGGGATGAGTTTTATAAAAAAAAACTGTAAATGCTATTAATCCAACCCTACTCAAGATATGACATGCAACCTCCTCCTATCTCACCACCCTCTCAACCTTTAATTAACTACCAAAATAGCATCAAATATTCTAATATACAAATCTCTCTGCAAAATTTCAGAAATTTTCAACAAAAAATACAAGAGAAGTTTCACAGGGTGAACAAAATCGTGCCCCTACACTAACATATATAAATACAGAAAAACACCACAAATTTTTTGCCTTTCTCTGTTTCAAGGTCCTGAGTCCAAAAATGTAAAAATCTTGGGGGTCACTTTTTGACATTGTCATACTTTCCCTACATGTTTATTCAATTATACATGTTTATTCCATACATGTTTATTCAATTATATATATATATATATATCTTTATTTGATCGTTTTATGTATAGATTGTTTTGCATATCTTAGCCAAGTGATGCACAGTACTTTGTAGAGGTTTTGAAGTTTTAAAAAGTTTAAGAGTTCCTTTTTAGTAATGCATGGTGACCTTGACAAAGGTTCATCAATCTGTAATCCGTTCCCTTCATTAACTAGAATGGTCCTTACTACTACATATTTTACAGCCTGGCCAAGCTTCACAAAACAAACTATATCTATGTTTTATAAGACACAGTAAAATTAAATTAAGATAAAATAAATGAACAAATTAAAAGATTTGGCTTTTTAGTTGTAAAAAGAAAACAGATTCAAGAACCTGAAACCATGACATTTACTCCAGTACCACAAATCTCATGCCTAAACCATGACAAATCATAACAAGGAGACCATCATAGATGGTGTCCTTTGATTTCAGAATTAGATATACATAACAGTAAAACTATTTCAGTAATTCATGGTAAAGCCACTCAATGCAACTCTCAAGTACTTGCAAGAAAAACGAGTTTAAATTTTTTCAACTTTATGTTTTGTGTTATATGGATATGTTAACAGCATAGAAGAGTAGATAAGGTATTCCACTACTACATACACTGTATGTTGCAGGTTTAAATCTTACCTTTTTTAGTTTTACTAATTGCATAGTAAGATTACTGTGCAAAGCATTTTTCAAAGAAAATTAGTATTTTATTGTTATAACATTTATTTGCCATGCACTCTAAACATTTTATTCATTGTAATTCTATGTAGACATACAGCAAGACTACACACACAAAATCCACCTTGCAAGTGTTATTAGTATGACAACATGATTGAGTTGAAGGAATAACATAGTTCAAACAATTCTAGTTATAACTGTAATCAATTGCTTAACAGGTTTGTATTGCATGACAGCCTCAACTTTTTCATATGATTACATCAATAATTCTAGACTGGATAAGGAACTTTCTATATACTCCATACCTGTATCTGATATAATACAATGTTGTAGAAATAATGTTGAGAAAAGTGACATGTAATTTGAAATGTTTTATTACACAGTAACTCAATTACACAATATGGACTTTTTTTCTTAAAATTATAAAATACATTCACTAATAATTGGTTTCATTCACATTAGAGAAAACTTTAATAAAAAAAGGCAAGATGCAAACTCAATACACAGTGTAGTAGTTGAGTACCTTATTCACTTAGCTGTGCTGCTTTTAACATGTTATCCACATAACACACAACTATGTTATCTGGGTTCTTGAAGTGACTCCATATACAGAGCGAAAATGATAAAAAATAGAAAAATACATTTATTTTGGTCAACTTGTCCTGTTTGATTTTCTGCCTATCATACAGTGTTTCTGATGTTTGTCTTTTGGACATCTTGCAAAAAACTGTACCTTCACTGAAAATGTCTGCAGTCATTGTAGTGAATCACATCTGCTTAAAAATTGTCCAAATAAACAATATACCTAAGTGTATCAACTGTTTAAAGGAGAATAGAACCATACATAACCACAATACCATGGACAAAACATGCCCAACATATCTTAGAAAACGAACCAAGTATCAAAACAGAACTGAATATGTCTACTAATTACTTTGCACCTGTATGCTTTAACTAATCATAGTTCCACCAGGAAATACGAACCTGTGGTTCAACATAAGTACTATACTGTGTCATAACTATAAAACTTTGCACATTTTCATAAAATTTTTGTCTTATTACATACTCTTGAACTTTATTCTACGTTTCTACTTTATGCACTGGTGTATGCCTTGTTCAATTTGATGTGAACCCTTTTTAAGAAATTGTGATGTGAGCATTGCTCTCCAGTAAGCAAGAGGCCACTTCTGAATTTCTTCTTATGTGTAACTCTAAACTCCTCTAATATGAACCATAATGTTATTTATATGGTATTACAGTAGAGAATCAATTATCCGACTCAATTGGGGACTCAGGTTGGTTGGATAACTGAAAAAATCGGATAACCAAAAAGAAGGAAAAAAAAATACATTATTAGTATAGTATATTAGGATATTAGTATATCCCATGTAATTAGTTTATTAGTATATCACTATTAACCAACTTTGCATTGAATTTTCATCAATGTTTAGCCTAACAAACTTTTTTTTAAAATAATAATCATCGCTATTGTATCGTTAAAAATTATTTTTAAATTATTTTATTGCTCATGAAACAAACAACCACTCATAATTAGAAAATTAAGTTTCGTTTAAATACTGCCCTCCCTTCAATGGTCGATCCGTTGATGCCAGCTAAAACACGCAAAAATTTAACAAAAATAATAATAAAGTAGCCAAGACAGCCAAATATTGTAATGCCACATCACTAGCGGACATTTGAAATTTGCCAACTAGAACAGTCGGATAATCGATGCTCTACTGTACTTATGGCACTTGTTGTAAATGTATATAATTGTTCATAGTTTGTTAATTTTTTTTTATTTTCTTTTATCTTATATTTTTATTATTTACTGTTCAATCATTTGTGTTATAATCGCATACCTATGTATTTTCTGAATATTGTAATTTACTGAGTAGATACTGGTAATGCATATTGCAGGGCCGGTCTGTACACTTGATATGTACAAATAAATGAATGAATAACACAACAGAGAACATGGAAAATTTTAACTATTTTTCTCACAAATGCTTGAGTGGCTTTACCCTGAATTACTGGAAGGGTAGTACTATAATATATATCTAACTCAGAGAAGTCAGAAGGTGTGGTATTGCTGTGGTGGTATTATTATTTCTAATTATATGGAAAATATTCTATTTTGAATTGATATACCAATAAATATTTGAATATATACTTAATAGCATATATAAATCAAAAATTTAGAAAAGTTTATTCTTATATACTCCATTTATCAATATTTTAAAATTATGGAAATTCATATTTCAAATTATAAAAATATACATTTAAAATTATATCTTTTATATAATTTTATTTTACTAAAATGATGCAACAAACTTTAAATACTAGATCAGTCAATTATTTCATTTTATCCAATTTTTGAATTATATTAAATTAGTGTGTGATAAATTTACAAAATATCCATTATGGTGATTTATACAAAAAAAAAAAAAAATTAACATTTCCATATTAAATCTAGTATAAATAATTTTTATAACAACTTAAAACTTCACATATTGAAGATAATCATCAAAAATCTTGTTACTGAATAGCCAAAATACTTTCCTAATCAAATTTAGTCACATTAATGAAACATTTTAATTTAAAGGTTCTGAATGTTTTAAAAACTCCATATGTTGTTCTAATAAATCTTCATACATATCTTGTTTTTTGTTACAAAGTGTATCATATTCTTCTCCTACTGTCCATAAACATTCAATATCATAATACTGTCTAATTTCTGGAAGAAATAGATGAAATACAATATTTTTCATATCCATAACTTTCCATTCCGAACTATCAGCACCTTCTATTTTCAAAAACGGTTCACTTTTTAATTTCTTCTTTTTATGTAACCTCCTAATAAATTCTATAACTGCTTGCAAATGACGTTTAGATCTAGCCGTACCCAAAACCATATAATCGCAATATTTTGCAGCTGGTGGAATCTTTATCACTGCAATATCGCAAACTTTTTCTTCTCTTAAAATATGTACCATTTGAGCAATATCAAAAGCACCGGTCTTTCCTCTTTCAAAAAATTCAGCATAACGATCCAATTTATCAGTTTTTTCTTGATAAAGAAAAAATTCCTCCTCCTCTTCAGCTTCGACCACACTCTGCTTCCAGCTGGTAACAGGCTGAGACTTCTCTTCGGAGCTCAATATTATTTCTGCATCATCGTCTCTGTATTGTTGAAACTTTTCTTTTATGGATTTTGATATTCCTGAGTTTCCTTTCTCCACAGTTTCATTTTCTTCATTGTTTACACTATTGGAAATTTCTTTCGCATGAGTACTTTCACCAAAGTCTTGTTTGATTTCCTTTAAAAAGTCTTTTAGTACCGAATCATTAGTTAATTCTTCCGTTTCATTATCAAGAGAATGTTTATCTGAGAACTTGCGTATTGAATTGTATTTTACTGGAAAATCTGTTATAGCAGGAGACTTGCATTTCTGGCATACAACAGTATTAACTCTCCGTAAAGATACTGACTGGAAGTTTAACATAAAATTTTTCAGCAGAACTGACCATTTCGCGCAAGACGAACTCAACATATTCAACATAAACATCACTGCCCGATTCGTCTAACAAATAGCGAATAGCCAAAAATTAGCCAAAAATTCAACAGACATTATCTAAAAATATTTATTGTTGTTTAAAATATTTCACATATGGCTTATTCCGAAACAGTATCTTCTTTTAATTATTCTTTACAACTGGGTGCATAGGTATGTTTAATATCACTCTTTATTCAGGAATATCTTCATCCCGATACGCTACTCCCGAAACTTGTATCGGTTTGTAAGATATTCCAAAACGGAATCTATATGAATGACAGAAAATATATTGCCATTCTATCTTTGAAATCGTCAAAGCTGAAAAAACTTTTTTAATAAACATCAATAAATTATTCCGTAATCCAAACTGTAAATCACAAAGTATTTTTTCCCCCCGCTCTGTGAGCTCTAATAAGAGGATCTCTTTTAGAAAGCCCATTATGGGTTTGGCCAGCCCCCAATGGGGCGGCAGGGTGGTGAAGGACGGGGTCAACATTTCCAGTCGGACCATACCTCCGAAAAATTCCTGAGGACTTTTCGATCCGTCCGGATTCTATTCTCCCAGAGCGGTAGACTGCGCCTTGACCGCTCGGCCATCCGGCCGTCAATTACGAAGTATGTCATAGCACAGTAACGATTGTAGATCTTTACCATATTGAAGAATTTAGATACTGTATAGTTTAAGGGTAACGGTCACTTGCCCGACCATAGTTATCAGGACGGGAGAGGTTAAAATTTGCAAAAAGTTGGACTATGTGGTTTAGGACGCTCCAATGCAGTAAATTTCATCAAATATTCATACGTGTTGATAATTTTTCAACAATTCACAAATCATCGTCAAAAAATTATACTAAATAAGGTTAAAAAAATTGCTGTAATGTACTGTACACGGGAATAAAATTTAACTTTTGTGAAATTGCTTATTTTAATTATTCAATAAATATATTAACTTTTTAATTATGTTAAATAAATACAGGAAATGAAATATTAAATTAAATTTCAATACTCAAAATTTAAACAATGTAGATACTGTATATCATATTTAATTAAATAAAGAATTTTTAAACAATGATGGTGAAGATTTAAATTGTAGATGGCGTTTTAAAAGTTTCAGAANTTTGGTTGACAAATTGGGGATGGTCACGTCAGATTGGTTGAGTGATGGCTGTTCATTTTTAATGTTTTTCTGAAATATTTTCATTGGGTTCTTCTAATTTACATTGATTTTGACTAGTGATTCAATTATTTCTTGTAATTCCTCTTTGGTGCAAACATTTCCTTCAACATCATTAGGTAAGGATGATCAAAGTTTCAGAAGACACGCCTTCCGACGCAACTACCAATCAATACATAAGAAAATTTACTGATGAAGCACGTTTGTTTTGTTTGCATACATTTCAGTTTCTTAAATTTTAATAGAAGCAAACATGATGGAATTAAATTTAAATCGAGTAGATTATCTACAGGTAAATTTTAAAATGTATATTTCTGTATATTAATCAATATACGGAATTTATGAACTCAGTAAAAGAATTACCGGCATTCATGATTTATTCTATGAGATTTTTTTCGTGATACAGGTTGGCGTGACATCACCACAGACAACTAAGCTTTTACCTCCGACGGAAGAAAACAGCTGTCAGAGAGTATGTATGCAATTATCTTGATAAAAATTTGGTTAGCAGGCAATGTTTTTCAAAAATATAAAACATTTTTGACCCATTTTTGAAATAAGACAATGATTTAATGAATGTAAAGAAACTAAACAAAATTATTTTAGCTTAATATTGGAATTGTGTGTAGAAAAAAATATCAAAAAATTTATTAGTAAAAAATATAGAATTCAAATAATTTGTGCTGCTTATTCAAATGTGGCAAACTATCATGACATTTTGAGTTATGTGATTTTTCATTTTTCTTGCATATGCATTTGGTTGAATTACACTTTCCTTTTCATGACCACCTTTGATACCCCTCACCTCCCAAAATTGATGTTTTCCTTGCACACTTCCTAAGAGTCAGTGATATTTGGTTTTGTTTGTTTGTTTGTTTTATTAAGTTATGGCAACCTAACATGGTTGGGCAATCTGCCTAGGGCAGGGGTCGACAACCTTTTGAGTCAGAAGAGCCAAAAATTACAATTTACAAAATTTCAAAGTTTTTAAAGAGCCACAAAATTTTTTCTTGCCAACAATAAATAGTACTCGCATAAATAAAGTTTTTTGATTAAAAAAACTAATCTATTTATTCAGAATTGTCTTCCGTTGAAAGCGAATTAAACCTCATAGAAATTTCCGAAGACGGCGTCATTCGAGAGCTTTCAACGGACTGACGACAGTGACGACGCGTGTCACGGGGGAGAGGTGCGATGAAAAGCGAGTACAAGTGGCTGAGAGATAGAATCGGTGCCGAATCCTCGTTAATCGATTCAGAACGATTTTTAAATGTTTTTTTTTTCATATATAAGTAGTGTTTTTCATAACAAATTAGATAATAGAAACATCCGATGACGGCGTCATTCGAGAGCTTTCAACGGACTGACGACAGTGACGACGTGTGTCACAGGGGAGGGGTGCGGTGAAAAGCGAGTACAAGTGGCCGAGAGATAGAATCAGTGCCTAATCCTCGTTAATCGATTCAGAACGATTTTTAAATGTTTTTTTTTTTTTTATAAAATAAATAATATTTGCGTATGGAACTAAAGAGCCGCAGCTTCACATCCAAGGAGCCGCATGTGGCTCGCGAGCCGCAGGTTGCTGACCACTGGCCTAGGGGGATGCTTTCCTGGAGGTCTTTTAAGGGTAACTGGCCCCTATTCAGGCATTACGAACGTGGAGAAAACCTGGAAAACTCCATGTGGCTGGCCTGTCCTGGAGAGGCACAAACCCATGACCGAACTCCCAGTGTTCGGAGAATGGAATTGCTTGGGTATTGGTGGGTCCATGATATTTGGTACATTCTCTACTCTAGAAATTGTCTGTTACAAAGCACAAACTGATTTCAGATGTATGATTATGAAAGATGTTCCTTGTTTGTTCTCCTCAAGTGATGGTACTTGTCATCTTCGATAGCTAATATTAATATCATATTCCTTCGGCTCTTCTATTTTTTCCAGTTTCTTTGCTTGAGCAAGTTGCAAAGAGATAAAAAGTTACTACACATCTTTATCTCAACACCGGAGAATACTAATAAAAACTCTTTCTAACCTGTTACCAGTGTGTTCTCTTTCTACTAAATTGTAACGAACCAGAATAGCTCTTTAACAAACAAAAATAGCTTTTTACTAACATTTTCAAACCCTAATGACGGTTCTTCTTTAGGTATATTTTTGAATCTCTGATGGAAATGCCCGTAAAAGTTCAAATTTGAAAATATGTATGTTCGAATGCACATTTCCTGTTTACGTCATTATCTGTCTTGTGCAGTCAATTCCAATACGGCTATCATAAATTACTGTTCATAAGCACTAGCCACGCTACTGATAGCGTAATCTCTTCTTTATAATTGATGCATTGATTATCCTTAAGGTTAGCTAAGTATGTGCTGGCCGCCTCCAGCCACTTGATATGGTGTATGTGCTGTGTGGTGCGGATAATTCTGTCTTTCTTAAATTCGGGGTCTATATTTGGATCGGACACATAATAGATAAAAAGTTATGAGAGAATGCAAAGACAGGTTTAAAAACCTGCTTTTGCATTCTCTCACTTCTTCTGAACTTCTTTTTTTTTGTTCTAGATCATAGAAAGACTGATCACTTCCATACTAGACTGTACTTTGGTTGACAAATTGGGGATGGTCACGTCAGATTGGTTGAGTGATGGCTGTTCATTTTTAATGTTTTTCTGAAATATTTTCATTGGGTTCTTCTAATTTACATTGATTTTGACTAGTGATTCAATTATTTCTTGTAATTCCTCTTTGGTGCAAACATTTCCTTCAACATCATTAGGTAAGGATGATCCCTTTTAAGCATGAACTAAATATGGCTTTATAAGGACTACACTTAATGTCTCGATGATATTTCTATTTTTTACGAAATACACGTCATAATCTCTCAGTCTAGTGCTGGGTTTGATTTCTTTTTAAGAGTTATTTGATCAGAATGCATTATCTATATTAATATTATAAAGAGGTAATGTTTGTAAGTTTGGATGTAGCAGGTAATCTCCGAAATTACTCATTCAATTTCAAAAATTCTTTCACCAATATTTAGAATGAAACTTCAGGGTGGACATAGGGTGTATATTATTCCGTTAAACATTCATATAAATTAAATGATATCATCTATGGTTAAGGCTTTNTTTTTCAAATATAGTACAGAAATTTGTAATAAGATACATAATGCGGTTATAATAAAATATTGTGTGATTATTTTCATATAATTAAAATTAATATGTAGTTATTTTTTAGAAAATACAAGGGAAGCAGCGCTTCCACCGCTTCCAATGACAGCACATCACTGATTTCTTTTAAATATTAATGCCAATAATAATATTTACAGTATTTATATTTAATTATATATTATTATTTTAAAATTCAATACATCTGTTGTGGGTTACAACAGACATTAAATACGATTATCTAGCATCAATCTTAACTGGGGCTTATTTTAGGGATAGGGTTCATATTATGAGCATCGTGAAAAATCATGTAAGGATTTTCTGGTAAGGTCTTATTTTAGAGGATTTACAGTATATGTTAATATGTAAATCTATTATTAGCACTTCCAGTAATCTTATTACAAATTCTAGCATTTCCTTATCAATTACTTTGGAATTGTTTCAAACAACATAAAACTGTTGACCCATATTGCTGCTATATATATGTATATATTACGTTAATTAATACTGTATTTTTCCTTCTAGTCCATTTCCTCTATATGATTCTCTTAGAATTGTGTAATCATATCTGATTTTATTTTTATCACAGTATATAATAATATTTTTAATTAATTAATACTTACATATTGTAGACTTCATTAATGAAATACACAAAAATTTTTAAGAAGGGAGAGAAAAAAACAATACAGGTATCTCTTGTACAACACAGTTTCACCCTAACATGGTTTTGGAAATCATCCATACAAAATTTCAAAATTTTATAGACTTTTTTATGATTTTTTTTTTTCATTCAAGTAAGCATGCATGTTGTCTCAAATTTGCCCATGGATTTTAGAATATTGAAATTTTCAAATTATTTTCCGTCAGGTTTACTTTAATGAAAACTGATAGGACAAGGAAGAAAACAATTGCACTAACTTTCCTATCAACCAGGTGTTGTCATTGTTTTCAGACTTAATCCTTAAGACTGTCACTCTGTTTCTTTTTATAGATTAATCTTTGTATTTAGTAAAGTTTATTTAAGCATACAGTAAAAATACATAAATAAAGGTATCTTTATTTTGTTTTATCGTTTGTTTTACCTAAGACTTTCTCTCTTTGCTAATCAGAAACTACAACAGTATAAGTCCTATTAATAAACAAGATCCAAGTAGACAATATAAAAACAAAAAAGTTTATTTAAACATTTTTAGATAAGTGTTATTAAACTTTTTTTAATTGTAGGTAAGCAATCATTCTTAAAATGACAAACAAAATATGGCAGTATATCTGTACTCAAAGAAAATTCTGGAAAAAGTCACAGTACTTGACTGAACAAACACAACCCGCTAGAACAAATTTTTGATTAATAACATATTTTTAATTCATCATTCATAAAAATTTTTATGATAAAACTAAAAAATATGAAAATGTTGCTGATAGTTCTGATCAGGATCAACAAAAAAGCTCAAAAGACGACAATATTTTGTAAAAAGAAAATGTTAAAATTAATTTAAATTAATATTAACACATAATATGGTAATTTTAATTGTGCTTGTTAATGAATTATTGATTGGAAATAAATTATCGATTGCTTTAATAAACATATTCCTCTGAGTAATGAAAAATAATAGTATACTTTTGCTAACTTCTGGAACATAACCCCATGTTTTGCATTAGTTCTTTGTTTCATATAGCTCAGATTTGAATAACATGGCACTTTTTCAGAACGTACTACTACTGTTTATCGAATTACCGTGTTATATGAGGGATACCTATACTTACAAGACACAAAGTATATTACTAATATAAGATTACTTACTGCTGACATCTTTAATACACAGAGTTAAGGCTGCATAGTATACCATAGCTAAATAAACTGGTATACTAAATATATAAAATATATATAGATTACTTGAAAAAGATCTTTAAAAAAATAGGAACAATTATTGAGTGTATCTAGAAATGCTGAATTTCTACAACTAGATTAAGGACACTTAAAAATTATTAAGGCTTGATTCACACTAGAATTGCTGGATCTAGTCATGACAAAAAGAGCTACCACTATGTCAGCCCAGCAGATCTATTTGTTAAACATGACTTTTCTGTCAGGACTGTGTTGCTAGACTGGCAAATCAAAATTGGCTAATCGAGATAAAGATCCAAGGAAATTGTGTTTTAAAACAAGGGGAAAAGTAGAAATGAACATATTTGATAAGATGAAGATAAGAAATCCTATGCGGAAATCCACCCAATTCCATTACAAAACATAGGATGGGAAATTTTTCGTTGAAAATTTTTGCATTTTATGCTTTCCTTTCGCCCCC